CATCTTTTTATAAATTTAATTCACTTCAGTATCAAATTTTGTTTACAAGGAACTTAGAGTGCCTTAATTTCCCAAAACTGTAGCACTATTTACAAATAAATCAATTTATAATAAAGGAATATTGTTTGTGGCATAAGTCACTTGACAACTGACTATTGGAGTGTGATCTCAGAGGCTTGCTGCTTTGAGAAGTACTCCGTTCCTCCTTAACAACCAGGCTAACTCAGCCAGAATGTGTAAGCTGATAAAACTGAACTTTGCACACAATGGCTAATATTACTTTGCCAGTTGTTTTTCTTTTGTAAACAACATTGTAAATATAATCAGCATTATAACATTTAAGACAGAATATGTGAATTACTAGTTAGTTCCTCGGAAATACAAAAGAAGCCCTGGTGATGTATGTAGCATATTAAGTATTGGGTTGGGCCAGCACTTGGAATCTACCAATTGCTCCAAGAAAAAAAGACGAGAAAGTCTCTACTTTTAAAGATTTATGTTGTTGTTAAGTGCAGTTGAGTTGAGCACAACTCATAGCGATCCTATGAACAAAAGACCTGAACCCTCTTCTATACCTATCGTTGATTTATAGCTTAAGAAATTCTATGTACCAGAGTTGGAATCTACTCCATGGCAATGAATGGATGGGGGGAAAAACACCCAAAAAATAACCAAACCTGATGATTCAGCAATTAAGTACTAGGCTACAAACCAAAAGGGCAGTGGTTAAAACCCTTCAGTTGGAAGAGATACCAGATGGAACTTACATAGCCCATAAGATGTGTTTAACCATAGTTGTTAGTGACCAGTAAGACATATTGTCATAATTAAGTGCCTTTGAGTTGGCTCAGACTCATTTTGACCCCACGGACAACAGAGTGAGACTTGGCCTGATTCTGTGCCTTGCTTAAATTCTCTTCTGTGCTTAGGATCCTTGCTGTCATCTCATCAAGGGTCTTCCTCTTTTGCTGACTCTCCACTTTTTCAAGCAAGATGCCCTCTGAATTATGTACTTCTAACGACTACTTTGGTGCGCTTGTTTTAAGACAGATTTGTTTGTTCTTTGGCAGTTCATGGCATAAGATTGTAAGAGATATTAGCTAAATAGGGCACATGTGTGTAGAATATAGGGCTAGAAAGAACTAGAGGCAATTGATAGTCTAACACGAAATGTCCTTATAAGAAGCACTCGACATCCAAGTCTTAAATTGTTCAACTCTCAGGCAAAAGTTTACTTGGAAAATTCAGCTATCAGAATCAGGAAGCCAATATTGACATACACAGAATTGGTGCTTTGGGCACATGAGTGATGTCAAAAGTAGTGGATGCTTTGGGCTCATAAATGACATCAGAGAACAAGGTCCAGAATGAGAACCACCCATTAAACTTTGAACTCTCTGTATCTCATTGGCCAAACTTCATCCCTGAGACCCACCCAGAGAAGGAGGCCATAGATAAACTCACTTCAGAGTGTGCTGCCTTCTCTCCACATTTCTTTTCTGGGAGGCAGGCCCATTCCATTGGAAACGTAACTTTCTAATAATTTTACCTTAAAAAAATGTTCCTCTCTGGTGACACCATATAACCTGCCCAAATCACCACAGATAAATTCCATAGGGGCTCATCAAGCTAGGAAGAACCATAGTCATGGACAGCCCCTTTTGCAGAGCTCCAACCTTGATTCCATCCCAAATTATTTTCCTCAGTTGCCTAATAACACCATCAGTGGGAAAAGCTGGTGTAAAGACATAGGACTCAGAAAGTGTGCTAACCTTTCTACCCCCTTGCACTGAGTCCGAGGTCCATTCATCTACCTTGCAGTGTTCTCTTTGTTTTGCACAATGCCTTCAAGGTAAATATGGTTCAAGCATCTTTACTTGATCTCAGTTTTTCTGTTTCTTGAAGTTCGCCTGGTACATCACTGTTATACTACTGCATTATAATAATTTTCAAATTCTCAAGGACACTTTCTCCTAGGACCAATTTAACCTGGAAAGGCTTAAGTAAAGAGACTCATCACCAGAAACTTCTTATTTTCAGTTAAGTTTCACTGCCTCACACTAAGGAACCTATTCAAATGCCTACATTTTGGTGTCCTTAGTAACTAACTTCCTGGGCCGGCTTTTGTCTGCTCCAGTTAGCCTCTTTCTTTAACAAATTCACTAGGGGCGAATGAGGCTTGTCCCCAGGTGGCCTGCAATATTTACTAAAGTCCTCCCCCATTCCCCTGCCTGTCTAGCAGTTGTCTGCCTTACCTTTGAGTTTAGTCTTGGTTGGGTTTCTTCCTCCACTCACCCCTCAGATGCCAGGTTTTTCTGAAGAGTAGGATTTTCCTGAGCAGTTAATCTTGTCCTTTACCTCAAGACCTATGAGTTGTTAAATGTTAAATGAGTTGACTACGACTCACAGCAACCCTAACTGAAGAAACTTGCCCTATCATGTGCCATCCTCACAATTTTAAGAATCGAGTGTTTGAAATTTACCTTGAAATTTTGCAGCCATATTGTGAAATTCAGAAGACTCTGATAAATTCGATCTAACAATAGATTTTGTTACCGGAAGTAACATCAACAAAAATTGTCATGGAGTCAGAACTGACTAAAGCTGATCCTCCAGCAGATTTTCAAAACTAAAACACACAGATTTTGGTCATCAGCCTTTGGGTTAACAGTTCAGTTCCCTACTATCTATGCCATCAGAGCTCTCTCTGGAAGTAACACTCACCCATTTGGAGAATGTAACAAGCAAGCTCTAAAGGAAAGTGAAAATTTCTATTTCCCACTTGGAGGAGCATTGGTACAACAGCAAAGGCTTTCTGCTAACCTTGGTCAGTGGTTTAAACCTACCGGCACGTGGCAGCTAGTTTATAGCCTAGGAAATCCTTTGTGGCAGTGTCTGCTCTGTCCTGTAGGATTGTTGAGTCAGTCAACTTGACTTCAGTTGCTTTCCTTCATTACAATGATCATAAAAAGGGACATGTAGATGAACAAACCTTATTTGAGTTTGCACCTAAGAAAGGACTTTACAATTTTTTATTTAGGAAGTCCTTCTAGCCTCTTAGGAACATAAGATTCTGTCTTACACACTTAAAAAAAAACCAAAAAACAAAAAACAAAACCTCAAAACTAACAGTACTTTAATTAGTAAGTGAAGAGAAACACAAGAATGGCCAATCTAAAAGTAGCTTGTAATTTCCAATTTATGAAAATACAAATAGGTTAAATTTCTAGAATACCTGGTTGATAGAAGGAATAATGAAGGTATATTAATTGTATTACTGTGACAAAATGAAACAGAAAGAGAAAACAGAAATATCTAGCAAGTTGGAAACAGTTAAAAAAAGACATGGTATACAACTGTACAATGTAATATGTACAGCCCAGATTTTGTGAATATAATACGTATGGTACAGATTCTGACACATGGGCCAGAGTAAACTGCCCATAGCATTTCTAGTTTGTAATCGTTCATAGAGAGCTCTGGTGGCCTAATGGAAAGAAGTTGCTTTGCAATCCTGAAGGCAAGCAATTAGAATCTGCCAGCTACTCTGTGGGAGAACAGGCAATCTCTTCCTCTGTGAGTAACTGCTTCTGAAAACCCACTGGAGGGTCAGCTACGGGTTGGTTCTGACTCAACAGAACGCAATAACAATCTTATAAGATCAGGTCCTAAGCTCCCTTTTAGCTACTGATGGGTTGAAAATTATCAACATCTCCAATGACAAGCAAATACTTAAACTATTGCTTCACCAGAACTCCTTCTAATACTAGGCAGCAACTGAAAAGATATAACTTTAATGAAAAAGTGAATGGCAGAACAATATGCCTGCACATGAAACAAAGGAATAAAGGGTTGTGTTTAATGTTTTATTAAAATTAGGGTAGACAATTAAAGGTAAAATGCATATTCTTTTATTAACATTTATAAATCAGCCAGCCAAACTGGCACTATTTCCATAAAGCAGCAAAATACAAAACCACCTTCCTAAAATATTCAGTAATAGAGAAGTTAGGGTAGAAGGATAGAGGACATCAATTAATTTCCTTGTAACTCTTCATTTGAAGTTGTTTAGAAGAAATCTTCCCTCATCATGTAAAACTAAAAATAAACTTTCACCACACATTTGTGCTTTGAGTTCCTTTTCTTGAGGCTAGATTCTAAAGATATCCAATATAGTATTATATAGTTATCTCTAGCCAGAGATATCTGTTATCATATTGTCAGGGCAACTAAGGTCATCTATCATCTATGTAAGGAAGCTATTATAGAAACTTCTTTGAATAAATGGTAAAAAAAACCCCCTTTGCTCCAAAATCTCCACATGAGGTAGGAATAATGGCAACCAGGCTATCACACTAGAGAGAGTGAGAGAGCGAGAGATCTCTAAAACAAGGAAGGAAGGAATGCAGCCATTGCCCAGGTTGACAAACAATTACATACTATCTTCATACTTCTTCAGATTTTGTGTTCATGGAGAAATTTAGGAATGAATCAATGGTTTGTGAGGTCTCCAGATCATTGGCAGTATTTTGTTGGAATTGGACCTGGGGCAGCAGAAATTCCTCTCCAGAGTTCTGAAGCGGATTATTCCAGGCCTGGTTGTTCCAGGATTGGCTGCACCAAGCCTGGCTGCTATTCCAGGTCTGGTTACCCCAAGCCTGGCTGCTATTCCAGGTCTGGTTACCCCAAGCCTGGCTGCTACTCCAGGTCTGGTTACTCCAAGCCTGGCTGCTATTCCAGGTCTGATTGCCCCAACAGTGGTTATTCCAGGTTTGATTGCTCCAAGAGTGGCTATTCCAGGTGTTGTTACCCCAAGTGTGGCCATTCCAGGTCTGGTTGCTCCAAGGCTGGCTGTTCCAGGTCTTGTTGGTCCATGCTGGAAGGTTTCCAGAAGGAAGGTATCCCTGGTGATAGGAGGAATGGAGGTCCAGGTATTCAGTAGGTGCAGAGACCATCTAAAAAGAGAATGAAAGATTAAGTGAGAGACAACAAGGAAAATCTGAATTGTCTGTACTTTGGGTTGTATGTTTTAGGGTGTTTAAAGAAAAAGAAAATTTACTGTTACCGGAGTCCCACCGTTGCTATCCTTTAACAAGTTGCTATTTTTCTGCCACCTCTTACATTTCATTCTCTGGTTCTGGAACCAGGTCTTAACCTGTAGTAAAAAGGTGAGAGGGATATTAGAAACTGAGATGTTCTTGGAAGAAAAAATATGTTTCTTCTTTTCCCGATAGTATCTCTATAAAACAGGAAGTTGACACTGATGTTTCTGACCTTCTTTTATAGGCTTTGTTCATATATTTGGTGTTATGTTTTTTTAAAAAAAATAAGTGTTACTCTTACATTATCTTTAAAAAGTATACTTCACTATCATTTTAATTCAGGCATTATGGAATATAACACTAGGGCCATAACTATAGAATATCAAGTTACACATCAAACTCAAATTTCTAGGTGGCATATAAACTGAGTTAGGAAATGACATCTCAGGAAGATCAGATAATACTAGCCAATACCATCAACGAGGTAAAGTGCGGCATCAAAAGACAAATGAAAATATTTTACTGAAGAAATCCTGCTTCATTTCAAGAAACTATTTCAAAGTAAAAATGATACATAATTAATATAGGAAGAAGAGCTTTTAAAACCATTTTTTTAAATGAACATGAGCTAGAAAGGGTAGTGGATAATGGCAATTTAAAGGAAAAAGAGGGCGAATAAAATATGAAAAATCACCTATTCCATTAGTAATGAAAGAAAAAAGATTAAAAAACAAAATAAGCAATTTTATTTTAATGAGAATCCGTGTGGGTCAGTGACTCATTTCTGAAAATTGGCTTATATTCCCTTCTTTGATAAAGGAAAAATATGAAACATTTCCACCATCTTTGTTGTTCAACCAGGGAAAATGGTTACATAATTATGATAGTAGCCATGCAACAGACTGTGGAACATAAAAGGAGAGATGGTCGAGAAACAAAGATTCCATTTTTTTATTTAATTCACTGGAGATGTGGGGTGGCATGCAGCCACACAGTGATTTATGAGCCTCTGCTATCAGGTTGACAGTACGTAGGAAGCCTCTTACCTGTTTGTAGCTAAGGTTCAAGACTTCAGAAAGTTCTTGCATCTGCTGGAGGCTGAGGTACTTCTGCTTATGGAATGTGTCTTTGAGGATGAATAGCTGGGCCTGAGAGAAGACCGTCCTGACTTTCTGCCTCCTGCTCTCGCCCTTCCCTTCCTTCACTGCATTCTTTTCCATAGAAGGGAGTGCTTTTGCTTTGGGACTTGTGGAAGAATCAGGGCTCTCCTGAACAAGAAGATCCACGGAGGGAGAAAGAGGCGAAACTGCAGGGAAAGAAAATGGCACCTTTCTCTAAAAATTTTTCCAAATATTGAAATAGTCTATGTATACTATTTTCAAAGTACTTTCACTATCCTCACAAATGCTACAGTTAGGCAAGCATCAAGTTCATTCTTAACAATTGTTAACCTATTTTACACAAAACTCAAGAAATGGTGTCAAAGGTCTCCATTATAACAAGCCTCAAAAGGTTTTAACAATGTGACCTACATTGCACAGTTCTGGGAAACAGAGCGGAAGTCAAATCTTAGGTGACTTAAACTATTGAGGCACCACTTTTTACTACATCTTGATAGTCTATCAGAACAACATCAATGTTAGTGTCAGAATGGTAATCATGCAGCTTTTCTCTTCTCTCTTAGGCAAGAAATTGGTATAAAGCCTTATTCAGCACTACTTATGTAATTTTGAAATAACCACTCACTCCAATTCTGAGTACCCTAACAGTATTTACTCCCCAGGTTATTTCTAAATATCAGAAATAGTGGAAAGTGAATTAATTGATAGATTCCATCTCAACCTCCTGTTTGCATTTACTACCTCACAGTTTCTTTATGGATTATGACTGATGAAAAAATGAGACATAACATTTATCAATTTAATAACGAAAGTTCTATTTCTTCTAGCTAATATCCTAGGCTTAATACCAACTTAAGTATTTGCATTGAAATATTCTCAGTTTCCAACTTAAGCTCTATTGTGCCTTTGACGGAACAAACAGTCCTTAAAATCACTTATCTCTACTTTCAGCACCCCTAAAAATAGGTAAGCCTTCCACTAATGGCTAGAAGTTGGGAAGGTCCTAAAATGTTTAAAGATTCCTTGTGGTGCAATGAGTAAGTTCTCATCTGCTAATGGCTAGACTTTGCAGTCTGCACACATTAAGATTTCATCTTAAGACACACTATAGGACAGTTCTGTTCTGTCCCATAGGGTACCTGGAAGACTAAACTTGCACACAATATGCAAATATTTGCACACAATATGCAAATCTTGCACTCCCTTACTAACAAGGATCTCCCTGTACCTCATTCCCAAGGTTTACAACTTAGTACAAAGTACTTCTTCAATATTTACAAATTACAAGAACAGCAACATTAATACAAAGTTTAGAAAAGTAACATCAGAGTAAGACAGAACACTCAAACGTAGCAGTTCTTTTGCACACATATTCTTTCCCCAAGACATAATTTGATTTCCAGAAAAAATGGTAATCACTTTACATTATTCCAAGCATCCTCAGCCACCATTCAGAAGCCTATGTAGCAAACAGAAGCTCAAATTCTAATTTTAGCCACTTTGTTTGATTATCCCTAAATTAATCTTCCCAGAATTATCTTTACAAGTTTTATGAGAATTAATACATGACGGATAGAATATAAGTAGATGCTCTAACTCCAAGCTGCCTAATGTTATCCACGCTACAAGAGCCAGAGAAGACCCAATCATCAGTGCTTGTTCTTAAACATGTCAAGATTACAGTTAACCATGCTGCTTCGGATGCTATGTCAATTATAGATAAAAACATGATGCTCATTCCCAATCTGTATAGTTTTCTAGACAATCAACGCTAACATTTACTGACAACTGGAACTATAATATTAAGATCTATGGACGAGTTAATTTGATTATTACAATAATATGTCTGTATTTCCACAGCGCCTAATCTGGTCGTTTCTCAGAAACTAGCAAGAGTACACAGTTGAAATCTTTGTGTGTGTGTGTGTGTGTGTGTGTGTGTGTGTGTGTATTTTTTTTTAATTACTTTCTCTTGTTCTGACAGTGGGGACATAGTTAAAACGGCACGTGTCCCCACATAACGATTAAAGTGTCAAGAGGTTTACAAGATAACAGAGAAAGATATGGATGGTCCTCAGTAACCCCCTTTCCCTTCTTTCTTTTTTCTTTTAGGAGAAAGACTAAATATTTCTTACCGGTCTCTGAGTAGAGCAGCTCGGCAGAGGGTATTTGCAAGGATGTGTAACTTTCTTCTGCTTCAAAAATTGTAGATATTGGTGAAGATTCTCTGGAATCGCGAGCTTCAGGTATGCTCTGGGGAGAAGCTAAGTCCGCGCTCATTTTGTTGCGGAAGAGGGGAGAAAAAAGAAAGATCAAATAAACAACTAAGACCTGTGAGAAAGGCCAAGTTATAGTGGAAAGCTCGAGTGGAAATGATGAAGATCTTCAAGATTAAAGACTGGAGTGAAGGAAATGGCCTCAACAGGAACAGAAAGAGCTCAGCCCAACTCAACAAATGGGAAGTTCCCTGAGTCTCTGAATTTATAAATGAAGGCTTAAACTAAGGCCTCAGGCCAGCCCCTCCAGGCCACCCTCATTACTCCACACACCCAGTGAATTCCGGGTTAATCCTGTCTGCCAGTCTCATCAAGGCCATTGTAATGTAAAAGTTCCTAAGAGTAGACCTGCAGGGTAACCTAGGCTGGGTGGAGACGGAACTGGAAACCTAGGGTCCAAACCAGCAGACAAAACAAATCCAACAACTAAATATTTCAGGGCACATCCACTAAATAAAAAAGGCATTTACTGGGGCTACCTCAGATATGGAAGTTCCCACTACAGCAATTACCATGAAATCTTGAGACCTTTGTGTTTTTAGGTGCCACTAGTTGGTTCCAATTCCTAGTGACCCTACCTATAACAGAAGGAAATACAGCTAGGTTCTGTGTCATCCCATAGTCATCTCTGGGCTTGAGCTTTTTGCAGTCACTGGTCAACTGTCAACAGTGAGGGTCTTCCTCAAAATGTGTCTTGGCAGATCTCCATTTTCCCCTATTTTTCACGCTAAGGTCACAATTAAAACACATGCTACCTTGCAGCAAGTTACTAAAAAATCAGTTGATATTCAAAAGGATATATTGTTTTCAGTTTCCACCTTGTTCTTTTAGCTTTCAACTTTTTCATCAGGACTGTTTTTAGATGCTGGTGAGTAGATTTTGACACTTAGTGACCTGGTATGATAGTAATCATTACTGGATGGCTTCGGTAGATGTCATGTTTAAGCAAAAATCAGAAAAAAAGGCATTACAATCTGCTGACATAAGATATTTTAGTACCCTGTTTTAAGTATGATCTAGCACTAGCATGAAAGATTTTTAAATTAGCATTTCTATGTATCATCAACAACCTGCTTTATGCAACTGACACAACCCTGCTTGCCGAAACTGAGGAGGACCTGAAGCAATTCCTGTAGAAGGTCAAGGACTGCAGCCTTCAATACGGATTGAAGCTCAAGAAAACTAAGATTCTTACCACTGGGCCAGTTGGCAGCATCATGGTAGATGGTGAAGAGACTGAGATTGTTCTTAACAGCTTTAGTTTGCTTGGCTCCACAATCAACACTCTTGGTACCAGCAGTCAGGAAATCAAGAGACAAATTGCATTGGGAAAGTCAGCTGTCAGGGCCCTCTCCTGAGTACTGAAGATCAATGACATCTGTCTGGAGACTAAGATGCGCCTGATCCAGGCCATATTCTTCATAATTATTTGCTATGCGTCAGAAAGCTAAACAATTACTAGGGATGACAGAAAACAGAATAAATAGATGCCTTTGAGCTGTGGTGCTGGAAAAAAGTATTGAATATACCATGGACTGCCAAGAGAAAAATGGGTTCGTCCTAGAGAGGGTGAAACCAGGTTGCTCCTTGGAGACAATGATTCTGAGGCTTCATCTGACATACTTTGTGCTGTTGCAAGTAGAAAGTTGCTCTTGTAGAAGGGCATCGTGCTTCAAAGGGTAGAGGGAGAGCACAGGAGAGGAAGATCCAGGATGAGATGGATTGATTCAGAGATTGGGGTAATGAGGGTTGGTGTGTGGGAGACAATAAGGTTGGCACAGGATAGAGCAGGTTTCAGGGCCACTGTACATAGGGTTGTTATGAGTCTCAAGTGATTCGATGGCACATAACAACAACAATATATGAAAGAAGAGGTCTGTCTTGGAGAGGGTAAAACCAAGCTGCTCCTTAGAGGCAAGGATTTTGATACTCCAACTCACATACATTGGTCATGTAGCCAGGAGGGACAGTCTTTGGAGAAGGATATTATGCTTGAAAGAGTGGAGGGACAGCACAGGCGAGAAAGACCCAGGATGACATGGATTGACACAGTAACATGGGTAATGAGGGTAGATGTGTCAGAGGCAGTGAGATTGGCTCAGGATAGAGCAAGGTTCAGACTTAATGTGCACAGGTTCCTAAGAGCTGCAAACGACTGACAGCACATAACAACAACAACACTCATAAGATAAAGCTCTAGTGGCCTTGTGGCATGAAATTCTGTTTAAATCCTGAAAACATGAGGTTTGAAACCACCAAGTGCTTCGAGGGAAAAGAATGAATAATCTCCTCCCATGAGATTCACTGCTTCTGAAAATCTGCTGGAGGGTCAGCTATGTATTCAGTTCTGACTCAGTGGCACACAACAACAATACAAGATAAAGGATAGAATTTTCATAGGAACACTTAAGATTTGTTAACTAGTGGGTAATAGAACCTAGGTGTACCTTTGCAAGAATTAAAAAAGATAAAGTGATAAATACACATGAATCACACACTTTAGTGACCTGCAAAGAGTGACTGCTTATAGAAATCCTTTTAGGAACTCCATGCTTATGGCCTCCAAGTTGAAAATGACCTTTTTGTTGTGATTGTCATTAATTAGTAGCCTGGCAGAATAAAAGCAGCATGTTCTTGCTCTATCTGGGGTATTACTAGATGATGTTGGTAGATGTCATCAAGTAATTTTTCACTTGATAGAAATCCCTTTGATAGTATAGAACTGTCCCCATAGAGTTTACTAGGCTGTATGTAGTTTTTACAGCCATAATTTGGTATGATTCACACAGTCAAATACTTTTACATAGTCAATAAAACAAAATAGATGTAGTGTTCTCTGCTTTCAGCCAGGACGCATCTGACATAAAAAAGCCCTGGTGCTACAGCCTCTTTTAGACCCACCTTGAACTTCTGGAAGTTCCCTGTCAATGTATTGTGCTAGCCATTTTTTAATGATCTTCAACATGATCTTATTTTGTTTGTATGTGGTATTAACTACATTGTTCGATAATTTCTACATTCTGTTGGATTGTGTTTTGGGGATTGGATATGGATCTCTCTTAGTCCACCAGGCAGCTGTCCTCCAAATTTTCTGGCATAAACTGGTGAGCACATGCAGGGCTGTGCCTTTAAGTTGATGCTGGAGAAGAGTGCTGAATCATGTACTGCCAAAAAACCAAATAGCTATGTCTTGGGGTAAAAAAGGCAGCCAGAGAGCTTCTTGGAGACAAACATGATGAAGCTTTGTCTTTCATACTTTGGATAGGTAGCTAGGCAAGGTTATTCTTTGGAAAGTGACATCCTGCTTGGAAAGATAAAGGGTTATCGAAAGAGACGGAGATCTCCAGTAAGATAGATTGACATGGCGACTTCAGCGATAGGCTGTCGTGTGTCAGAGATGAGGATGGCACAGGTATAGTGCAGGGTTTAAGTTGGCTGGTTAGCACTGAACAAAAACAAATCTTTACAGATCACCTGCCAGATCTTTTCTCCCACAGAACAGCTTATTAAGTTTGAACTGTCAACGTTTCAGTTAGCAGCTAAACTAGTGCTTAATCTTTTGCACAACCTGAGCTTCACTAAACCAAATGGAAGCTCTGGTGGCCTACTGGTAAAAAACTGCACTGAAATCTTCAAAGCATATGGTTCAAATCCACCAGCTGCTGAAGGATGGGAAATTTCCTCCTGTGTCTGAAAATTTGCTGGAAGGTCAGTTATGGGTTCTAACTCAATGGTACTCAAAACCACCAGACACAAACTGATTAGGAAAAAGCTGAAAAATGTCCCTTAGTGGCATTCCTGTAATGGCCAAATTGCCAAAACGTTTTAAACAGTCATATTTTTGGTTTCTTGTCTTTCCCAGACAATTATCTTTTAGCTTTTCCTTAACTAGTTTTTATTTTTTAATTTCCCCATCACATCTTTCACTCCTCTTCTGTACCCAATTCTTCTCCGTTTTGGGTGGGGTTTGTTTTTGTTTGTTTGTTTTGGGGCATTTGTTGTTTATTTTTTGTCAGTCTTCCAAAAACACTGTTTAAGAATTGGGTTCCAACCCTGGCAGTTAACAATTTTAAATTTTCATTTCCAACGGCAACATTTAAGGGAATAAAAAACAACCCTAAGATTTCTTTGCCATTTAAAGTTTCCTACATTTAGCTTAGCATATCCCAATTATGTGTTTTTCTCAGACACATACTAAAACTAATATTCACATTCACTCTGCAACTAGGTTCTCCACTGAGAACTACGCTGCCTTTGTTCCCACAAGACGGAAAATTTGTTCACAATGTAAAAATGCGAACTTGAGGCAGTAGGACTTTAAATATATTTTTATTTATTTTTTAAAATTTTTATTTTTATTGCCAAATTCAAAGCAAGGGTACAATTTTGCATGACTTTTTTTGTCTTTTCAAACCATCATTGTGGAGGGGGAAAGGCTAGGAATAACAGGGCATCAGGAAGAGAGTGCATAGAACTTGATTCATCATTGTTCAAGCAGATAGTCTCTGTCTCACTAGAAGTAGAATGTGAGGGATTTAAAAATAATGAAAAATCTGATTGCTGGCCTTTCATCCAGCAATGTAAAGACTGAGCAGTGAGGGGATTCAAGCAAGAGTTTACCTGCTGCTCGCTAAACTGTTGGTTCTGTCAAGCTTTACACTTTCCTACCAGGAGAGTCTTTGCAGGAAAGCCTAGATGAGTTCACCCCATCCCCCTACCCCACCTTATGGATTCTGGGTGAAAGCCCAGTCTAGGTGTGAAAACCCAAGGAAGGAAAGAAGCAGATTTACTACATTCCTTGCTTGGGAAGTCATTTGAATAAGGTTTATTATGCTTTGTGATGAGCTATGAGGGTGAGCTGGGTTATAACGGCCTAGGGTCTGAAATTGCAGACTGATTTAGTAAAATCCTAATTTTGGATTTCATTTCTCATAAAAGGATTACCTGGAAAGAAAAGGAGCAGGGGGAGAGAAAAGAAAATATTAGAAAATAATGTTATTTCAC